ATTATATTTAAATTACCTTATATAATTAATTATTAAATTATAAAATACTATATAAATCTAAAAAAGAAAATTTTATTTTTCAGTAAAATTTAAAATTATCTCAAAATCAGTTATATAAGTTTATCTTTTTAAACATTTATGTCATATCACATAATTTATAAAAAATTATATTTCTATAGTAAACTTATTACATTTAAAATTATTGATGATTAATCAGTAGTAAGAATATCTGAAGTATAATTAACTATTGATATAGATAACAGACACTTACTAGTATAATCAAAAAATCTGAATGAAAATAAACAAATTTTACTTATATTATAATTTTAAAAATAGAAGATAATAAAAAATAATAAAATTATATATTAAATATTATTAAGAAATTATAACTTTAAATATCATGTATATTTACTGATTAATAATGATATCATATTGAATAATCACTTACTTGTATCAAATAGTGATCAATAATAATTTCTGTTTTATCTATTTCTTTTATTTTTCTTATATTTTTGTAACCTGTTTATTCTATTTATTCTATTTTATATGTAATTCTTTTACATCTATAATTTAATTTATTTCTTTTTATATTTTTTTTAGTTTATCTTATTTTTATTATTTTATTATATTTAAGAATATTTTTATTAAAATATATATCTATATAGCTTTATAATAATATACTAATATTTAGAATTCTAATTCTAAAATTTTAACATACCTAAAATATTAATAGTTTATGATCCTAATAGTCTTTAATTCTAAATAGATATAATCTTAACTATTAAAATCTTAAAATCTAATCTTAATTCATTCTAATTTTAATTTAAGCAATAAAAAATATAACCTAATTATAACTTTAATCTTGATCTTAATTCTAATCTAATCCTAATACTAAATCTAATCAGTTTAATATATATTTTAATAATTATTACATTTAAAATTTATTATTACAGCATTATAATCTTTTTTTTAAAAAATATAGATCAGAATTTTAAACAGTTAAGATTATATTTATTTAGGATAAAAGACCATCAGGATTATGAATAATCAGAATTTTAAATATATTAGAATTAAGGTTGCTAAATGAAACTTAAAGGTTTTGCAAGTTATCTAAATAGAAAAAGGTAAAATTTAGTAAAATTATATTAAAACCTTATTAAAAAATCTGCAAAATTCTAGAAAAGGTAAAACTATATTAAAGTTTATAAAAATGTAAAACTATATTAAAACTTTAGTAAAAAATTAGCAAAACTATAGTTTAGATATTTTGCCAAATCCATAATGAGTTTAGACAAGCAACTTTAGTTAGGATTTTAGAATTGAAATTCTAAACTGTTAAGATTTTAAATATTGGAATATTTGTAGGATTTCATTTATATTTAGTTAATTTATAGCATAACAAGTAGTTAATTATAACAAATTAATTTTGTAGAATAGTTTTTTACTTAAATTATAATTAACTCTTTTATGAATTTCAAGCTATTTAATAAAAAAATTAATTTAAATCTATACAAATTACTTTTCTCTTTAATATTATCCCTAAAAATGGCGTTGCAATATTGTTACACTTATTTGTCACCTGTTGCAACTTAAATTTTAATAATTTTGCAATTTGTTGCAACATTATGATGCTTATTTGTCACCTGTTGCAACTAATTGAGACGCCATCTTTAATTATCCCTAATCTTAGATTTATTGTATTACTTATTTTTAAGTTCATCATTACAAGTTTGATTAAATATATCTTAAATTCTAATATGTAATAATTGTTGAATTAATTCAACAGATATTAGTAGGATTTAGAAAAAATTCTAGAGTTATAAACTTCAGTAAGTAGAATTAATTATCATAATCTTTTAACTTAAACATTAACCTAACTAAGGCCCTTCCTAAGGAAGATTTATTCAACAATTTACTTAATACGATTCTTTGCGTAGTTGGTGATTAGTCAGTATAAAGTTTGAAAGTGTAACGTGGAATTTATTAACTTAAGATCTTCTCAAAACTCGTCAACCTTATTCTTTGAACAAAGAGAATTTTCGGCGTTTATATACAAAATTTCTAGTGTTGTTAAGCGGTCCTAAGCGGTCCTAAAAGTCCCAAAAAAATTACAAAGAATTATTTTTAAATTTATTATTTAACTTGTCTATTATAATGTTTTAATGGCTACTCAAAGAAATTAAATAATAAACCCTCTTGGAATCCCAGAATTTCTTAAAATTTAAAATTTAAGGATTTAGGACCGGGACACTAGAACCGGTCCTATATTTAGCGGTTCCATCTAAATTGCCAATTTTGTTAATGGAGGTTATTTTTATAAATAAGTTATTAGACTTGAGTTAGTAATCTCTTAAATCGTAAGGACCGCTTAACATCACTAAAAATTTCTAAAAAAATATAACTAATATAATAAAAATAATTAATATAACGAATATAACAAATATAAAATATTTATTTTAAGACAAAATTTTTTACGCAGCTACTGCGCCATTCATAAATAGGGTCCGGTTCATTTCATTATTTTACCGACAAACACTTCACCGACGGGATCATTTCACCGACAACCGTTTCACCGACGATTATTTCACCAACACAATCATTTCGCCGACAAACGTTTTACCGCCAGCATTATTTCATCGACACGATCATTTCGTCGACAGTTTATTTATTTATTTATTTATTTATTTTTTATTAAATATTACATTATAAATGAATCATTAATAGAAAAATAAAATAAATAAAACTTCACATTTAAAAGTTTATAATAATAAAAAAAAGGAATTTTCTAATTCAACGGTCATATGTTATTTATAGTCATTTTACATTTTTTATCAATGTTACATATTGATTTAGATGGGCAATTAATAAATAAATAAAAATATTTCGGAATAAAATAATCAAATTTATTGAAAAATATAAATTATAGCATTTATTGTAATTTATTAACTTACAAAATATATATGTTTTTTGGAATGTCGGTGAAATGATCGTCGGTAGAACGTTTGTCGGCAAAATGAACATGTCGGCGAAATGATTATGTCGGTGAAATAATCGTCGGTGAAACGTTTGTCGGTGAAATGATTCTGTCTGTGAAGTGTTTGTCGGTAAAATAATGGTCGGTAAATCGTTTGTCGGTGAAATGAATGCGACCCCATAAATAACGTGTTTTATATAACAAAAAAAAAAATCATACGATAAATTAAAAAGGCAAACCTTCCCAAATCGTTTATATTAGATAATTAGCCCAATAAAAAAAGGATCTTCGCTTTGTATTACAATGATATAAGTGAATTAGTTAGGAAATCTCGTTACCCAATTTCTACAAATTATGTTTACGTTCCATTTCTATATTTTATCATTTCGTTCTAAATATTTTTTTTAAAAAATTAAATACAAAATGCAAAAAATTATTAATAGTTCAAATGAGTGGATTAATTGGATTGAAGAAGCTATTTTAAAAAAGCATATAAAATACTACGAATTCGAACATTTTAGCAATATTCAAGAGATTGGTACTGGAACTTTTGGAAAAGTCTATCGTGCTGATTGGAAAAATTCAAAACAACCTCTCGCGTTAAAAACGTTTCATAACTTTAACGATGCCACTGTTAAAGAACTTGTTCGTGAGGTAATTACAAAATATAATTGCATTTTAGTCTATTTATTATAAAATCATTCATATATAAAAAATATAAAAAATAGAATTTTATTTATAATTTAATAATTTAGCTAGAACTTCAGCGTGAAGTTGATTTTCATTTTAATATTTTACGTTTTTTTGGAATTACAACTTCAAATCAAGGTATAATTAAGTTTATATTAACTCAATATTTTCTTTTTTATATTTATATAAATTTTTTTTTTTTTAAAAAAAAAAAAATAATTTAGAAAATCATGATCAAGACCATTTTAAAAAATATTGGTTAGTAATAGAATATGCTGATGGCGGTACACTCAAAAACTATTTAAAGAACAATTTTGATAAGCTTTCATGGGGAGATAAATACAACTTGGCATACCAGTTGGCTTGTGCTGTATCTTGTTTACATGACGAAGGAATTGTGCATCAAGATTTGGTAATATTACATGATAACGTATTTAACTTTTCTTGTTATGAAAATTGCTGTTTTATAATTATTTTTTTATTTCTTTTTATATACGTAATAGCACTCCGGCAATATATTAATTAATCAAGGTATTATTAAGCTAGCAGATTTTGGATTGTCGAAAAGAATTGAAGCAGCAACTAAACAACAGTCAAAGCTTTTTGGAGTAATTCCTTATATTGATCCAAAGCGTTTTGATAGACGAAGAAAAAGTGATAAAACATCACATCAACACAATCTAAATGAAAAGAGTGACGTTTATAGTGTTGGCGTGCTCTTATGGGAAATTTCAATCGGTCGTCCTCCTTTTTATGTTGAAGATGAATATGACATTTCCTTAGCTATAGAAATTATGCAAGGTCTTAGAGAATCCGTCGTTCCTGGTACACCTGAAGATTATGTAAATCTTTATACGGGTAAATAAATTATCATAAAATTTAATTAAAATGTATATCAATCATTCACAAATTTTTTATGATTTTAGAGTGTTGGGATAATGAGCCAGATAATCGTCCAACTATGAACATTGTAGCTGATAGATTAAATGCAATTATTACAAAAGCAAACATTACTGAAAATGTTGATGTATCAAATCTTCAATTATCTGAACAACGACGACCTTTTTTGAATAATTCTGGTTCTAATTATTCTTTGCATGGAGAATTATCTCAATTGATTCAAAATTTTGATCAGATAGATGAATCAAATCTTTCTGATTTGATTCAAAATATTGATCAGAGGAATGTAGAAGAATCAAAATCAAATAAAATCAATAAGAATGTAGATGACCAATCATCGCAAGCAAATACAAATCAAGTTGTGGAATCAGGCGCAAATAAAGTTGTGATATCAAGTGAAAGGAAATTTTCTTCCCGAATTAAACAATTTTTTAATATGATAAAATCACCACATAATTATGATGGGATAAAATCACTAAATAATTATTTATATATTCGTGGCATTTTTGCATTAGGTAAATTTCTATTATTTATGATTGATTATTTTGTAAACGTTTATTAAGACAATTTTCTAAATTAATTGTAAAGATATCGGAATTTATCATTCGGTAAGTAATACAGTTGTTTTGTTCAATTTATTCACTTAGTAAATTTATATATTTTCTGTATATAGAAAGTTGCGTATACGAATGTGCTAAATCCAGATATAATCATAAATGATTGTGGGTCAGAATCAATTGGGATGTTAAGAACAAATACTGCATTACTTTATGATGAAAATTTCAATGTCGAATCATGGGGAAATGCAGCCTTAGCTGAACCACGTAAAAAACAAGTTCTCGTTAAAGATTTTATGTTGCATTTAAGTAACATACCTAAAAATGAAAAACCTATTTTACCTAAAGGTTTATCTTATAAAAGAGCAATTGCTGATTATTTGAGAGAAATTGGTAAATTAATTATATTAAATCATCACTTTTGTTTGCAATCAATAACGGTACTAATTATAATATCGAACATTAAAACTTTTAGGAAAAGTAAGTGTTGTATGCGTTAAATATTTAAAAGAAATTCTATTTAATCTTTATTTAAAACTTTATAGCTAAGTAAAGAAACAATGAATGCTCGATGGCCTAATATAAACTTCATGGAACAAGTTCTAATTATATTAGTAGTTCCGGAAGAAATATCAGGTGCAATGGACATATTGAACGAGTGCTCTTATATGGCAAACTTAACTTCTACGATGAATTCTGAAAGGCTAATCATTGTTACAAGATGTAAGTTTATTCAAGTAAAATAAACATTTAATATTCTTATAATTTTATTCTAATAGTGTTAAATATCTTATTAATAGCCGAAGTAACAGGTGAGTTATGTCAAGATAATCCTTCATGTTTTTTGAATTTTGCATTCTTCTTGTTTAATAACTTCTGCGATCATTTAAAAAAGCTATGTGTATAAATGAACGAGGTTTTTATATCGAGGGATGTAAGTAGTTTATAATTCCTGGCTTCATTCTTATTTCCTCCTAAGATAAAGATATAAGCAATTTCTTTTTTGATCAGCAAATGTTTTAATTGTGGATTGTGGAAGTTTGACAGTGAGTTTAATCATTCGACAGTTATTGTCTTGTGAAAGATTGGGAGAAATAAAAATGCGAACTAGTGAATTTTGCGGTGGGGATTATGTTGATAGGGAATTTCTCAGGTTTATGGGACGAAAATTAGGATATAGTGCTCTGAAAAAATTAAAAACAAACAACTATAATCAACTTCAATATATGATCCAAGAATTTAATAGGAATGTAAAAATTTTATTTACCGGAGAAATAGAAAATTACAGCACTTTTAAAATGGATTTAAATAAAGTTTGTCCAGCTTTACAAGGTTATATTGATAGTTCAAGAGTTGAATTGAAAGACAACGACTGGATTATAGAATTTGGATTTAATGATGTGAAAGTAATGTTTGACCCAGTAATTGATCAAATTATTAAATTAATACACAACCAAATTAATCAGTCTGGTGATATCTCTGCCGTGTTTTTGGTTGGAGGCTTTAGTGAATCTAAATATTTACAAAAAAGGATTAATGAAGAATTCTTGGAAAAGACCAATATTTCAGTGCCACTCCGACCATTAGCTGCTTGCACTAGAGGAGGTAATTATAAATGTTCTCTAAATTGATTAGCTTTTTCACACTTTAACATTATTTCTAAGAATTCGTTTTAAATTTTATCGGCAGTTCAATATGGCCTATATATGTTAAACAGAATACGGAATAGATGTACCTAATAGTAAATATAATATAATAAATTTTATTTAAAGTTTTCTAAGTTAATTTAAATAATTTACTTTTAATTAATTTCTAATTATAAGCAATACTAAAGGTCTGATATAACCGATTTTTCAATGTTCGCAATACAATAAATTAAAAAAAATAAATATCGAAAATACTTTTTATATTTATATTTATTTGAATATTAATTGAATATTAATTTAAAATTGCAAAAAAAAAGATTATTGTAATAAAAAAAAAAATAGAGTATTTTTAAAAAAAGCAAAGCAAATATACATATCGATAATTTTTAAAAAAAATAAATTCAATAAATTTTACAATGCAAATTGTTTTTTTAATAATTATTAAATTAATAAAAGAAATATAAATATAATATATAATATAAGTAAAATATTTTTAAATAAAAGATAAAATATATATTAATTAATTAGTATAAATTAATTAATAAAACTTTAACTTATTAATAAAACAAGCAATTAGGTTGGTAAAATTCTTATTTATCAGTCAAAAAACCTAAAATTAGATTTTTAAAAATCATTAACAGGAAATTTAAGTCATTTCTTCTAAATTTAATAAATTTTAATTAATGAAATATTTAATATATATTAATCATTTAAATACAAAATAAAACTAATAAAATAAAAATAAAAAATAAAAATAATAAAAAAAGAAAGTGCTAACAATAAGTAATAAAAAAATTATAAAGAAAATTTAAAAATTATTTTAAATAGTAAAGTAAGCAAATATGTTTGTAATATAAAAAGTGTTAATATCTTATAAAATATTAATATTAATTTTAATAATATGGGTAGATTGCTAGGAAAATCAGGTTCTAGGAAATTTTTAATGAAATTGTAATTTTTATTGCATTTTAGTTTTTGAAATTATTCGATTAAAATGCATTAAGTTCTCAATTATAGTTAAAATTTCTCAGAGCCTGATTTTCCTAGAAATCCTCCCATATAATAATTATAAAAAGTATTGTTTAATATATCTTTTATTAACTTTATTAAAATATTTTAGGATTATTGAAAAATTTTTAAATATTTTTTTAAAAATTCATATATTATGAACTAATTAAATTAATTATAAATATTTTAATTCTAGTTCTATTACTAATATTAATTTTAATATTAGTATTTTATAAAAATATAATCTAACTCTAATTATAAATCTAATTTACTTTTAACATTAATTTATATTTGATTTAATTTATATATTAATTTTTAATTATAAATTTAACATTTTTATTAAATTAAAATTTTAAATTTAATTTTTAAATTTTTTTTCTTATTTTTTTTTTGATTATTATTTTTCTGTTAATTTTTATTTTTTATTTTTTTGAAATTTTCAGTTAATTTTTTAAAAAATAATTAAAATAATTAAAAATTAAATCTTGTAATTATAAAAAAATAATTAAAAAAAATTTTACAAGTTTAATTTTTTTAATTATTTTTTATGCCTTTAATTTATTTTATGAGTTTTAAAAATCAAATGAATTATCATTTGATAAATAAAATATAGAAGTTTAAGCTATTTTTTTATAGAATTAAATAAACTAATAAAAATTTATTATTAATAAAGTATAATTGAGTTTATTTAAGTATTATTTTTATTAGTGTAACTTTAATAGTTGTTTTTTTTTATTTTTTTAATAGTTTTATTCATTTTAAACTTAAAATGAAAAAAAGCTACTTAAGTATTAATTAAAATTCTTATTTAAATTAATTATAATATATGAAGTATTATCTCAATAACTATTCAATTACATTAAAAAAGATACTTGAAAATTCTATTATAAAATATATATATTTAATTATTTTTATAAGATAAACTAAATAATATAATAAGTAATCATTAATGATTTTAATATATTATATTATAATATTAGATTAATTTTAGTATAAATTTTATTATATATAAAAAATATATATATATAAAATTAATAAAATTTGATTAATCAAAAATTGAAAACCAAATCTTAAAATCAAATCTTAATAAATAATAATCATAATTAAAATTGATTCAAATATTAAATCAATTTTAATTCTTATTTTATAGATAATTTAATAGTTATATTTTAAGTATTTTATTATATTAAAAATTTTAAATAATATAAAATAATAATATTTAATAATAAATAATAAATAAAAAAATGTTAATAAAATTTTATAAATTAATTTTATTCAATATTTAAAATTAAAATAATATATAATATTTTAATTATAATTTATTTAATTG